CATTTTGATTCCAGCTTCTTAGATCAACCCTCTGTTCCATTGAATTGACTCATACATAGCGCCCGACTTGTTTGCTTACATTTTAACTTTAACGGCTCAAAGGAAGGTTCGACCAGGACGACCAGACGACGAATTGAGCCAGATCATAGCTTCTTTTAACCTGCATCTGCGATCTACAGCAAATTCTCAAGTTAGCTTAGATACACTATTCCAACAATTCAAGAAAACCTCCAGACTTGTGTCAATATCCAGCGCAATTTCGCCAACACACGCTGCCGGCAAAAGCAATTGTAAACCGGAAGCTCGGATAGAAGCCGTAACGAACTCAGCGGACAGAGTACCACAGTGCCATTCATAGCTTACAGCGGAAAATTAAGCACTAAGTGGAAGCATACTATAAACATTCAGGAGCGCTCAACAGAATTCCTTTCGATTTTTTAGCAGATCTGGCCAAATCAACTCTATTTTACAGGAAGAACAGAGACCTTTGAGGGGAAGAAGCTCCTGATCATCCTTTGTGAGATGTCGCGCCAGGCAAAGCAAGTGCCAGATACCATTTTCGCAATTACTAGGGCATGATAAAATCCAAATAGAAGGACCTGACCTAGTCTACAAACACTCGAGAAAGTAAGAAAACCAACCTCAAACTTGTGCCTACATAGGTGACACGACTTGCCACCGTGTAAACGAGTTTCTATCGTAGGCTCAGATGATTCAATGGGGCCATACGCAATAGACATATGCAGCGGAGGGGATAAACTTGGAGGGAACTCTTGAACATATTCCTGATCAATCCATCGCAATGTCAACCCAAGTCTGCTCCATGGCCGCACACGCAGCATATTACAGAGAACGCGAAACCGAAACTGAAGAGGTGTTTCGCGCTTTGCTTTTGGATGAACATAAGGAACCCGTCTTGATTGGTACGGATTCTGCCACGCCCACTCGAACTGACTTTGACGTTAAACAATCTTACTTACCCGAAGGGCAGAAATATCATTTGGAAATCCATGTACGACCAGCACCATGACCCTCTAAGTAGGGGACTATAAGTATGAACCTACCAAGGACCTTTGCCACCAGTAGCCTTCGCTCCACCGCATTGTGACCCAGAATTATGCTGCTGAATCCTCTTTCTGGGATTTACGGTATAGCCTACGTAGGTTCGACCATTGCAACGTGGATTAAGAGAAACAAGTAAGTAGCATCCATGAAACCCATTTGGAGCCGAAGCCTCAATTGACTGGTCCATACATGCACTAGAAGTGCTAAAAGTAAGTTCAGTAATGACTCAACTGGTAGACTGGAGAGAGATAACGAAACAGTCTGAGGCGCTGAGTTCCGAAAGATGTTTACGTTGTAAAATATAGTTCGAACATATAGACAACAATAATAAAAGGCAAGTTCGTATTTTAAACTGCAGATGCTTTGCTAATTCATGTAGCACAGCGTGAGACCAAGCTTTGAACAACGCTAACGGCGACCCTTACAGAAAGCCTCAGCTCCTACTTCAAAATGGAGAATCGCCTGAGTAAATGCTGGATTGCACGAATAATAATGCAGAAAATGCAACGTGTCGGAGCAGAAGCGTCGGAGAACGACTCGAAGATCCAACAGAATTTGAATCCTGTACCAATTTAAAGACACAGTGTTTTGCCGAAGAAAGCTACGTTAAAGAACAACTGATATTGGTGTAGGCATAATGATAAAACTTGCATATGATCTCATAAATATTTATTAATGTTTTTGGAACTTGTACAGTAATCGGAAATCTTAACTTCCATTATATCCACTGTTCCAGCTTGAGTTTAGCTGCGTATTATGCGCGGAATACCGTTCTGAGTGAATGGTGTTGCCTTTTCCAATGTTACGCTTTTATGACCGCCATCGTGATCAATTGCTACACTGGATTTGAGCTTGTCTATCGTCAATGGTCTGGCCTTTTTTTCGATACTACTTCGCTATTTATTTGACGAAGTAGCGGACCTTAGGGGTGATTGCAAAACAGTTTATTTGATAGCTTGTATGAGTGGTAATCTATTTAGCTGCTTTCTTGCCTTTTCCCTGTGAGCTGGTTTAAGATGTAGGCTAAGACCTCCATTCTAAGCCTTTTGTCCAAATAATTATATCCGGTTTAGCATTGGGAAATGTGGGGACGATAATGTAATTTGCCGAGACTTCCTACTAAACAGAGTGTGTATTATTTTTTGCTGGACATATGTGCACATACGTACATATGTATATATACATCAACAAACAGAGTAAGACGAAACTATAGCCTAAGTCGGGAGTTGGTTCTTGTGGCAAAGCCAGATGTCTGCATCGGCCCCTTTCCGTGTACTACTATGTTTGAGCTGCCTTCGGAGCACCTTCTGCTCCATCCACCACAGTAATGTTGTCGATGCCGTAGGGAAATACGCACTAGCTAAACTCAACGTTCATCAGCTCCCGTGAAATTGAGTAAAATTACATTGTGCTCTCAGCAGCTGCAACAAGATCTGGAGTTAAGATTGGTTGTACAGCAGGAGGCAGAAGAGGAAATCTCTGATGACCAGCGGTTGTGTCCAGATATATGCAAAGGAACACCGATCCAGAACGGAATGTGAGCAGGTAAACAGAGTCGAACACAGACCCGTAAGGAAGAGGACCCAGCTTAATAAAAATGTCGCCATCCCTACGAAAAATTAGATAATGAGAGCGTCCAAATATGTTGCTATATGGTTAATGACAATATCGCCTCAACTGATCATATTTTGCCGTTGAAACATGGAGAAGGCGCCAATGCCGAATGCAGACGTCAATCTCAGCTCTTCATTACTAAAAATTTAGGTTTCTCAATCAAAAGTGACATGCACTTCACTCAAGCCGTAGAAGATTGTCAAACGTGGTAAAAACCGGTGTGGGTGTGGCTTTGCGCTGCAACTAGTGCAACGCATCGAGGCGCCGCAATTGGAGGAAGGCATAAAATTTGAACACCCTTACGTAGGACAGATATTAAGAGGTTGGTCCACGTGCTGGCCTCACGTCCAGACCACGCAGCCTAGAGCCATATGTGTGTACCGCAACGGTCGTCAGCCATTAATGCAGTTAAAAAAGCAGAATAATTGTCACCATCCTTGAGTTTCTCACCATGAACGTCAGCATCTTTTTTGCTGTGGTGAAAAATGCGGGCAGTAGCAATTCTCACCATTGTGAATTCGCTACTTCGTATTCTTGCGCTATCGCTCGGTGTTACGGGAACGAGTCAGTCCATCACTTTACCCTTTCCCACTTCTTCGCATCCCATACCATTTATTACTTCATAATCCTTCCCTCCCACCATCACCATCATCCTTGCCACCACAATCGTTATAAAAATAGGAAACCCATTTACGCCATCGTGTCGCAGTATTTTCTGCCCACAATGAACGACCAATGCAAAAAATGAATCCATCTCTCAGTGATGCTGTGTCATACGGTGCCTCAATAGCATAGACAAAGTACGCAAAAAGAGACCGCTTCTCCTCCATCTCTTTTTTGTGGGCTTCCCACCAGTCTGCCGCCTCGCACAAGTTTTGTTCGCATTGCAAGTACAAAGTTAGCAGTTGCATACGCTAATGGAGAGCAGGGAGAAGGAAGTGTAATAAGTTCTCATTTCTGCTAAACCCTATACCGCCTCCGCCCATGCTACCACCACCTAACACACTAACCACAAAATAACTGGTTTACCACAAGGAAAATTGTCGAGTCGAGAGCAAATACATTCATACCACCGGCATCCTCCGTCTTGCTCCCTGTGTCTTCCCAACATTAGCTGAACTGAGACCTACAGCGTCACTCCCGTTTGACAATGTCATTCAGTTTACACCGCACAAGAAAGCAACGCAGAGCGCAACAACTACTCATACAGTCCACACCAGTGGTAAAGACGGGATCGGCAATTGGTGCTCTCCACAAATTGAAGGATAAAGCCATCACTATAAAAATAATTCGTCCCCCGTCAGATACCAGCCTCCGCAGTCCCTTCAAACTTACAATGGAAGAGAAGTTGAGGAAGAGCCGCGCCATCGCCCACCTCCATCTGCATTTCCCAGATTAAACCTCTCTCATCCAAATCCACCCCCATCATCAATATAACAAACCGTTCAATACACGGACAGGCCATTTCTCCTCAATCACCTTAGACATTGTGCACAAACAAACTATTAGGTAAACTGCAGTTGAAGAGATTAATGCTTCTGCCATCAGCTGCGACCAGCCCACGCGTCTCCACAACCATCTCCCTCCGCAATAGAAATGTCTACTAGTGTGTTTAATTGAAAATTGCTTCCTAATGGAAGCAAATAACTAGCGGACCCCAGATACCCGTATCGACAAAAATCGCGTCCTACCTAGCAAAATTTACACTTGTTACAGTGAAAGAAGATTCTAGGAAGCGAATACAACCAAGCCCAACCAAGCATCAAATTCAAGGCTCCCCACTTCTTCAAAAACCACATAAACAAAACAAAAAGGAGCAGCAACAAGGAGGAGGAAGGGCTAGTCCTTACCACACTTTCGACAAATTGCACATTGTATCACAATAAGGCATTCCTTCCCTTGTGGAAACTGCAAACCAGCAAAAGCAATTCTAATTAATCCCTGAACAGTACTTTGTAGCACTTCCCCAACAGAGACACCGATTCCACAAAAGCAAAGCCCCAACAACAACTGCTGCAAGTAAACATGTATCTTCAGAAGTGAATCAATGCATGATTTCAGGTACATGGAGGGAGCACTCGGCAGCACGTGCTCGTGCTTAAAAAAGACAAAGCGCCCCTAACCCACATTCATTGCTATTCGGGTACCAAAGCACCACCAATACGTGGAGCAAGGTAATCCCTTTTGCAAATACAACCATATTACCCCAACCTCACCTCTACCCTATCTTACCCCACGACAACTCATGAGTGCACAAAAACGCAATGTGCATCCATGCACGAAATGGACACCCATCAAAATTCGTCGTCCTTCATTCCTCCTTTCCTTCTCAAGGGTCAAGTTAAGCTAATTTAATTTGCACTTACAAACACTTTATGCTTCCTCGAACTTTTATATTGCAAGAAAAGCATTCGCAACTAAATACAAAGATTAGCTGCACAAACTGTCACTTTTACGAGCGAAAGTAACTTGTAATATTTTGTCTATGTGACCATCTGAGATCCAGCTAGGGCTTCGCTATTCGTCTCGTGCTTGCGCATGTGAGCTGGCCTTCGAGTTAAGCTGGGGTTTAAGCCCCTTCTTCTAACTGGGGGGAAGTCTCGGGGCACTGCGCAACTTACTGTTTTGCCGTGAGCGTTGGGTGCGTGATAGGTGTCCCGTTTTCCTGAGGGTTTGTTGTTAGTGATATAACTTACGGCGTTGGAATGTAGGGCACTTAAGTTGGTAAGACCTCACCTGATGTGATGAGGCTTTGTTGATTCACGTCCGGTATGCATTGACGCTGCATTTCGCATTTTAAAAATTGGATGCGTTTTAGCTTTTGGCTGAGGTTGACTGTTTTGGTGGCGGAGACTTTGAAATGGATGGACCTAATATTTCCTACGAAGAAAATAAGCATTTCTGAGCGCTCAGTACTCATTCCTTATTTTCTCACTTCTAGGTTACGATCCCGCATAAGTGCATCATCTTGCACATTTCCATCATGCACTTTTTCGTGCAAAGAAGAAAAATTGTGTTTTGTTGAAGCGTTCACTATCAACTGCAGTGTCAAGTCACTTCTCTCGTTTCTGCATGGCGGCGTACTTGTGTCACAGTGTGTAATGGCTTATTACTATTAATGGAGATGGCTTGTGATTACAGAGGTTCAAATTCCTGATAAGGACTTCTGTTTCGATTAAGCGCGGATTGTCAACGACGTCTGCGATGATCGCTTCGACTAACTTCCTCCGTTATTTGTCCTATTTCTCACCAGCATTTACCGCACTCCCTCTTTTGCTATTATGCTGAATATCAGTTTCACTACTTCTCTACGACCTAAAATTCTGATCAGCGTCTAATTCCTTTTGTTCGAATGTAGGTGTTGACCCATTCACACCGCTAATACCAAGCATCTGTAGGTTGCCGTATCAACCATCAGAGGAGTCTGTCACAGCTTATTTCAAACAGATGAACGCACGGCGGAAGGAGAGGAAAAAGAGGAAGGGGCGATGGTAGAAAGGTCGACAGAGGCACCTGGCGCGTCGTCGTTGAATCCCAACAGTCACTCGCCTAGAAACAGCTCTGCTCGGCTCATGAAGTCATCAGCGA